TACCAGCTGTGTGCTCAACCCCTGGCAGCAGCCAGAGACCAGCCCTTCTCCCAGGTTCTGTGTGGGAGTGCAGGCCCCAGGGAGGTGTGTGTGTGTGTGGGGCCCACCTGTGTGTGTGTGTGTGTGTGTGTGTGTGTGTGTGTCCCACCTCTTCCTTCATGCCCTCAGAGAGCAGCATCATGACGCAGGCCTCGATGGGCAGGGCGATGTCCCGGCCCAGCTCCTGAAGGTGGGTCCCCAGCGACACCCCATACACCCTGGAGAAGGGGGCGGCCGTCATCGAGGGGGAGGGGTCTGCAGGGACGAGACAGATCAGCGGCCCAGGCCCCTCCCACCCCTGGGCAGCCAGGCCAGATAACAGCACTCCTGAGGTCCTGAGGGGATGGGGAGGGCACTGCTTTGGCCGAGGATACCACCATGCCCACTCACAACCCTTCTTGCCTCGCACCGGGAAAATCATGCACCCTGTGAGTCCGCCCACAGCCCCAGCTCCAGCCCTGTGCTTAACCCTCTCTTCCCCCTCCCGCAGCATCCTGAGGGACCTCTGACCTTTCCACCACCAACCTAAGCCAGCCCTCCCAGGGCGCCCTAGTGCCTGAGCAGGCAGAGCAGGGGTGGTGTCCATACCCGTTTGGCGGTGGTTCTCCCTCAGCTCGGCCAACGCCGTGTCCAGGGAGTTCAGAGACTTGCGGTGGTAATCGGCCTGGATCTCTAGGATCTGGGGGGTGCCCCAGGGAAGGCAAGAGAAGCTGAGCATCCTCCTGGGGCCCAGCCACCCCACCTCCTGCCCCACAACTCACAGTAGCTCCCTAGGGTGCTGAGCTCTGGTATCTCCCCAGCCCCCTGCCCCGCCTGCTGCAATGGCCCCCCATCTTGGATTCACCTGGATGAAGTAGTTGGCGTAGGTGTCCTCCTTGGTGGCAAAGTGATACAGGTCAGCCAAGTACTCGTCCTGGGAGCAGAGAGGAGAGGGCTTGTGGTGGGGAGGCAGGGGGCCCAGAGGCCGGAGAGAGCAGTGGCTTATGGGCAGGGTCACACGGTCGGTCGCAGGTAACAGGTAAGTGCAGGGACCCTGGAGCCCCAGGCTCACGCTCACATCCTGGCTTGGCTGCTGCCCTTGGCCCTTGTGACCTTGGTAAGGTCACAGCCCCGCTGAGCTTCTGTCTGTGTGTGTGTGTGAGTGTGTGTGTGTGTGTTGGGGGGTGGGGGAACCTCACCTTGCACTGCTCCACCTTCCTCTTCAGCTCCTCCTCCTCCTCCTTCAGCATCTCCATCTTGTTGCCTGTGCTGATGTGGCTGTAACTGCCTGACACTCCACCTAGACCTTGAGCCCCGCCGGAGTTCTTGGCTGCCTGGCTGAGCCTGGGAACAGTCCCAAGGCAGGGTGGTCACTGGCCCCACTACACGCCTCCCTGCTCCCCCCTACACATGTCCAAGCACACAGATTGGGGGATTTGTAGACACACATGCCCACTGGCCAGGCTCCAGTCTGGGCCGTGAATTCTGGGGTGCCCCTAGGTGGGAGGGGATTGGTGACCACAGCCACCCAGCTCCAGCGTGGAGGATGGGGACCTCCCACCACTGGGGGTGGGGGGGTGTCAGATATCCCAACTCTCAGCGAGCTCATGGGACAGGGTAGACCTGCCCCTGTGAGCATCTGAGACTGTAACTCTTGATGGGAGTTGAAAGCCTGGTCTTTCTCCTTGGGAGTGCCTGGTGGTTTTGAACTGCTGCCCTTGAGGGTTAACAGCCGGCGTGTAGCCACTATGCTACTAGGGGTTAGAGGGTGCAGGGCTATTCTGGCACCAGCTGGCACATACACGTGTAGACAGAGGCCCCCCCAGCCTGTGTCCAGCCTGAGGGTCACCCTCTGCGGGGGGTGAGGATTGCCTATACCCAGAGGCTGAACTCCCACCTGCTCTTGAGGGTGTTCCAGTCGGACACCAGCTTCTGCAGGCTCTTCTTGTGCTTGAGGATGGCAGGCAGCTCCTCCTGGGGGGGTGGGGAGGGCGGGCACAGGGGAGGGCTCAGCGGGCCAGGGCGGTAGGTGCTAGGGCAGGGGGTGGGGTGGCTGGGCAGGTGGGTCACCTCACTCAGCCTGTTGAGGGGCTGCAGGACATCCCGCTCCAGGGTCATCTCAAACTCGGCCACGATGCAAGCCAGCTGGTTCTGGATGACGCAGCTCATCTCCAAGGCCTTCCTGGGGGACACAGCACTCGTGGGCCCCTGCCCCACCGGGACTGCTTGCCGCCTGTCCCTCCTGTCTGTGTGCTCTCTTCACCGAGCCACCCTCTCTGACCTGGACACAGGTCCCCAGCCTGGGTGCGCTGCTGTCCTGGGCTTCTCGACAGAGGCCAGCCCCCCCATCCCCCCACCATGCTTACCCCATGCTGGAGTCTGGGTCCAGCTCTTTGAAGCTCTCGGCCATGGTGGAAGACAGAGCCATGAGGGGCAGCTTCTTCTGCGGGGCGGGGAGAGGTGGGCAGGGCTGGCGTGAGGGCAGGGTCTACGCTCACCTGTTTGGCTCCCCCCACATGCCCAGACCCCCACTTGGAGACAGAGCCCCATTGGAGGCCTGGGTGGGGGAAGAAAGGAAGCTGTGCGTGAGGTGTGGCTGGGATGACTCCTCACCAACCCTGGGTGGGTGGGGGGGTCCCTTTCCCTTCTCAAATGAACAAAACCAACTGTTGCCAGGGCCACAGTCCTGAGGGGGCAGGTCTGGGCCACTGGGGTTTTTCCAAGCAACCTCTGGGTGGTCTCAGCCTGCCAGCCTTTATGCTAGCAGCCAAGCGTGCTCCCCATGTGCACCACCCAGGGACGCCCTTCCTCCTCTGGGGAACTAGGGGCCCACCAAAGAGCCCTGGTGGTCCAGTGGTTGTGCCTTGGGCTGTGGTCCACAGGATCCACAGGTGGAAATAGCCAGCTGCTCGGGGAGAAAAACAGGGCTTTCTAATCCCCTAAGGAGTCAGTCTGGGGAACTCACAGGGGCAGTTCTACCCTGTCCTACAGGGTGCCCGTGGGTCGGAATCCACTCGGTGGCCGTGAGGAGCTACCCTGGTCTGTGTGGCTGAGCTCACAACCTTCCCTGGCTCCTCCCTCCCCCTCCTCAGTGCTCTGGTCAAGGTGAACCTGCCCCGCACTGTCCCACCTAGAGTTACAGAGCGCTCTAGCTTTGGGATCAGAGAGCCCAGGGTTCGAATCCCAGCCGACATTTCCTAGGGTAAGTAACTGGAACCCTCGAAGCCTCCATGTCCTCATCTGTGATGCAGGGCTGGCCGATGAAGGCAGGGAGCTCCCTTGGGTGGGGGGGCGGGTTGTTGCCAGGATGGAGACAGTGCAGCAGGGTCTAGCAGGAATGGGTCAATAAGTGCCGGCTGTTGGCTCGGGTAGGGTGTCCTGGTGGCACGGTGGTCATGCGTGAGATGGCTAACTGCAAGGTCAGCAGTTGGAAACCACCAGTGGCTCATAGGGAGAAAGACAGGGCTTCCTAGCCCCTTCCCAGAGTTCATCTCAGAAACCTGCATGGGCAGTTCGACCCTTCCCTACAGGGTAGCTATGAATCTCAGCATCGGCTCAATGGCCGCAAGTTCGGTTTGGTTGGTTGATATTAGTAGCAATCATTAAAAATCCAGCTCCAAGAAGCCCTCTCAGCTGCCCAATGGAGAGTGCCAGCGCTGGGGGCTGACTGGGCAGAGAAGTTCAGGTGCTGGGTGAGGCCTGGCTTTGGGGGGCAGGGTCAAGAAGGCACTGAGGGAAGAGATGGGGTCCCGGGAGTGAGGTCCTCAAGGAGCCTTGGGGTAGAACAGCCGCCACCCTCAGTGTCAGGATGCACCCCTCAGCTTGCTTCCCTGGTGACACGTGCCTCCACCTCCCCACCCCCAGCCCCACACTTACCACCCGCTTGTCCATGTCAGCCCCGCTCTGGCCCTGCAGACAGGCCTGCAGTCGCTTGTGGACATTGTGGGCGGCTCGCTTGGCTGGCTCCAGCCGCTGCTCCACCTGGAGGGGGCGCAGGGGGCTATGAGTCTTGAGAGGTGCTGTTCCCCCCCCACCTTGGGGTCATTAAGGTGAATGGGTTTCGCCTCACACTGATCCTAGCTTACAAATAGGACTGTATCTGAGCGCTTTCTACTGGTGGCACAGGGGCCATGCTTGGGCTGCTGACCCCGAGGTCAGCAGTTTGAAGCTCATCGGGAGGACTATGGGGCTCGGGGCTTTCTAATCCCGTGAAGAGTCGCAGTCAAAAGCCTGCCCCCGACAGGGTGGCTGTGTCGGCACCGACCCAATGGCGGTGGGTGAGAGGGCATTCTGGGCTCTTGTCTTCTTGAGAGCAGACTGTTGGGCCTTTCTCCCTGGGAGCCGCTGGGTAGGTGCCGAGTGCCCACCATCTGACTGGCAGCTGAGCACTTAACCATAGTGTTAGGACTCTTCCCACCTGGTCCACGGTCCCTTTCCTTCCTCCTGGGGACCCAGAGCCAACAGCCTGGGGACCGATTCCACCGGGGCCGCCCAGCCTCCAGGCCCCGCTCAGGCCTGCCCCCATGCTGCGCGCCCGCCTGGGCTTGTACCTGTAGGAGGTCCTCACCCAGGAACTCCGCAGTCTCCGGGGTGCTGGGGGGGCGACACAGAACTTTAGCGGGGCTGCCACAGACTAAGGGCCCCGTCCCCCCCTTCCCAGCAGGCCCCCCCACCACACCCCAGTTGCTTCCAGTGACTCTCCCAGGTGGAGCTCCACCCTGGGTGGCCTGTCCCACCTCATCCCAGTCGGAGCACATTCCACTTCTGTGGGGCGGGAATCGGATTGGAACGTTTTCCTCCTCCACCCAGGGCTGTGCCCAGAGAGAGGGCAGTTGAAAATGACTGGGGAGTCAGGGGTGCCACCCGGGATCTTGGCAGGGCCCTCCCAACACACACTTTGGGGCCACAGGGCTGCAGCCTGTCTCTTCTGCCCATCCCCCAAATCCTCTGTCACCCCGAGAGGAGGCCCAGCTCCTCCCAAGAACGGGAAGTGTCGGAGTTGGATTCCTGGCCTGTCAGCCCCAGGGGCTCAGGGGCCCACCTAGCCCCGGCCTGTGACCGACACATGGGGAGCCCGGAGGCCCAGAGCCAGGTGGCTCGAGGGCCTGGGACTACACAACTGGGCTCTCAGAGAGTCCCCTCCTGCGCTTCGCGAAGGGGAACTCCAGTGCGGGAGGGGGGAGGGCAGGCCCTCTGAGACGCCCCAAACTTCCGGCCTGGGCTCCCCTGATCTGGGGCTGCACGGTGGGAACCGGGAAACCCGGGGCCGGTTCCACCTGGGTCTGCGAAAAGCAGAAACAAGATGCAGAAGCGGGGGGCCTAAGAGTGGGGGTGGCGGGGCGCACTGCTCCTCTTCCCCCGCGCCAAGGTCGGGTCCTCTGGGCCCCTTCCCATCCCCCACAGAGATGGCTAACTGTCCCCATTGACCAGAGGGGACAAGTGAGGCCAGGTTTGCTCCGAGGCTCACGGCTGCGGACGGGCCCAGCGTCCTTGGTCAGAAAGCTTCCCTCCACCCCCATCCCCCGTGCACCCCCTCCAATCAGGGGCGGGGGCGCTCTTTCCCCTGAAGTCCTGCGCTGCCTAGGGGCGGGGGGAGGAGGACCAGAGCTGGACTCTGGCGGGTGAGAGGGTGACTGTCCAGGTGTCCCCAGCTCCCCCGACCCGTGTCCCTCCACCCCCACCCCGCTCAGGTCCCTCGGAGTGGGGGCCCCCGCTGGCACTCACCGCCCCAGGGTGCCCGTCTGGGCCAGCTGCCGCATGCGATGTAGCTGCCGCTTCATCATCTTGGGGCCGAGCGGGGGGCTGCGGGTCGGGGTGGGGGG